CCAACCTCCTATACAGCTCTATGGCATCCCTTATAGCATTGTTACCAAGTTTAATAGATCTTTGTTGAACTGACTTTGGATCATACCACAATGCAAAATATTTGGTCACTGCTTCAGTTGGATGAGGGCCCTTTGTTCTGGATTTTTTTCACCATGTGCAGGATGAATCACCAAATTACAGATGAAAAGGAGAACACATCAAAAGCAGAGCTGGAGTTCTGCACACTGCTATTCAAGATGATTGGCCAATGGACCCTGCCAGCTGTTGTCATTATGAATCAATTAATCAACACTTTCTCATAGTCATCTAACAGTGCACCTAATGCTATGTGTAAGAATGTTGCATCAGTCAATTTTTGCATCAGAAATTTTCATCACTCTAATACCTGAAGCTCCTAATTTATGCAGTAAAGAAGTAAAGGGAAAACTTTTGGGGGGGCCGGGGAAATAGCTTGGAAGAATAAGCGCTTGCCTGGCAAGTGCAAGGGCCCGAGTTCAATCCCCAGTTCCAAAAAAAAAAAAAAGGAAGATTTTTTTTTTTTTTTTTTAACATATTTGGTTGTTACAGGGTTTCACTATGCAGCTTGGACTCATCATGATCCCCCTGTTTTTCAGCCTCCCCAGTGCTGGGATTACAGGTACCACTATGAGTGGACTCTGAGGCTGGCTCAGCCCACCCTGGGGGCAGGGTTGGCGCGGCATGTGGTGCTGGGCTGGCCTTGCTCTTGCCTAAGGTTGCCTAAGTAGGCAGGGGCTTTAGTCTGCTAAGCTATCTCACTGGTCCCAAGAAATTTATGTTAACAAATATAATTAATTTAACTTAAATCCATGAAACCAGACAAACGTGTATTTGGTTCAGGGAAGACAGAAGCAGGTGAGACAGGGAGAACTGGCAAAGCACCCCTCTTCTCGGTTTTGCTCTCCATCTGCTCACACTTAGGCCTCCCTGTAGACCAGGCTTTCCTGCCTCTGTCCATGAGACATGTGGCCTCGTACTTTGAGGGATGATCCCTACTGCAGGGCGCTAGGGGTATGAAGTGTAAACACGGTTATGGGAGCCTGATCTATTTTCTGTTGAGGTGGAGGAATTTTTGGAGAAGTGAGACTAGTTGAGTTAGGCAGATATCATATTGACCGTTATTGCTGGGGGTGGTGGCACAGGCTTGGCACCCCAGCACTTGGGGGCTGAGATGAGATCACTGCACGTTCGAGGCCAGCTAGGGCTACAAATTAAGTTCAAGGGCTGCCTATACTGCATAGTGAGACTCTGTCTCAAAAAACAAAACAAAACAAAAACAAGTCCAAAATTAAGGGATTCTAAAATACCATTGTCAGGGCCGGGGAGATGGCTCAGTGAAATAAAGCACTTCCCTGGCAAGTGCAAGGGCCTGAGTTCAATCCCCGGTTTGGGAAAAAAAAAAAAAAAAAAAAAAAAAAAAGAAATATGTGATAAATGCCACTAACATTAAAAGATGAGAAGGTTCAGAGCTAATGGTGGTAATGTCTGCGAGGATGAGGTATTTTGCTGTGACACGGATATTTGATTTTTTTTTTTGAGACAGGACTGATGGGTTTGCCCCCGTGCACCTGTCCATGGGGTCATCATAGCTGTGTGTCAGCAGGGCACAGGGATCCCAGAAACATCAGCTGCTCCTACATGGTCTTCCGTTCTTTCTCTCCGGATTGACCAGAACTTCATTTTTTGTTTTTTGAGCATGCCAACTCTCCCCAGTTAGTGCCTGTTGCATCGCTGTGCTGCCCATGTAAACTCCGCCCCTAGACCACCTTCAGGGTCTTGGTCTTTTCTTTTGGCGACCCTCCCGCTCCGGGCAATAAAGAACTTCTTTACTTTCACCCACTTCTTTATTACTTCAGGGAAAAAAACTTACAAGGATCTCACTATGGAGTCCAGGCTGAGGCCGACTTTGAACTGGCAGTGTAGCACTGGCTGCTCTGGAACTTGAGATCCTCCTGCCCCAGTGTCCCAAGTGCTGGGACGATAAGCATGTGTGAGCCACTATACAAGGTTCAGTTGGGTATTGAGAAGCACAAGTGCTCTGGGAAGCAATTTCATACAGATGGAAGGTCCGAAGCTTACAGCTGGGTAATGGTAAAAGCCTACCTGGCGAGGTGAGAGATTTGCTTTGTTAGAACACGTTAGGCAAGCATATGGGAAATGAAGAAAAGTGGGAAGATGCTAAATGGGTGGAGTTCCTTGCATATTAACTTCTTTGAACTTTGAAGGTAAAGAACAAAACCGTTTCAACAGAGGTGGGATGATAAACAGAATAGTCTTTAATACAATGAGCTTGGGAGCTTGGGGAAGAGGGGACCTAGGAAGAACAACAAAAATAAAATACTGATCAGGGCTTTTGCTGTGTTAGTCTACTGGACACACATGGCTACTGAATACTTTAATGTGACTAATGCTGCATGTGGAAATATTTTGCATATGGTAGATTAAATAAAATATTAAAATTAATTTGTTTCTTAAGTGTGGCTAGAAAAGTTTTAAAGTTATTCATGTGGTTTGTGTTATACTTTTCTTGAGTAGTAGAGTGCTGGATTCAAGTAAACAGGAGAGCCAGGTGTGGTGGCACACATCTGTAATCCTAGCACTTGGGAGGCTGAGGCAGGAGGATCATCTTGAGTTTGAATCCAGCCTGGGCTACACAGGTGAGTTCAAGACCAGTCAGAACTACATAGCAAGACAGTCTTAAAAGAAAAAAAGTACAAAAATCAAATAAAGAATCAAGTTACAGGAACAAAAAGGACACCACTATTAAAAGAAGTAAGGAAAGTGGAGCTGCGTAAGGGTAATGAAGACCAACTTGTTTTCATTAGTGTCTTGTTTTTCAATGCTTTTTCTTTCTTGCAGTGCTACTGATTTTTTCAAGTATGCAGGCAAGAACTCTCCTTCTGTATTCTACTCCTAGCTCTTGATTTCAGAAGACAAATGTTTCTACAAAAAGATTTACCTGGAAGTGAAAATAATACCAACCATCAAGCTTTTAAAATGGAACAAGGGGGGGCTGGAGAGATAGGTCAGTATAAAAACGGCTTGCCTGGCAAGTGCAAGGGCCTGAGTTCAATCCCCAGTTCCTCAAAAGAAGAAAAAAAAAAAAGAAAAGAAAAAATGATATAACTTTCTCAAGACAGAGGGAAAAGCATGAATGGTGGGTCCAGAGACTGACATAAAATGGAACAAGTTTTGATTGTCCTTAGCATAACAGGCAAGTCCTTTTAAATTAATTAATTACTTAATTATTTAATGGATTTGGTTGTTACAGGTCTCACTATGCAGCTCGGACTAGTGGTGATCCTCCTGCTTTCAGCCTCCCCAGTGCTGGGATTATAGGTATGTACCACTACGCCTGCCCGGACTCTGGCTGGCTCTGCTGGCTGTGCAGCATGTGGTGCCTAGGATCGAACTGTGGTCCCTGAGTTTGCCTAAGCAGGCGCTTTAGTCCACGGAACAATCTCATCAGCCCCCTTGTTTTATTTTTGTGTAGTTTAGGCTGGCCTTCAACTTTAATCTCAAAAAACAACCAAAACCAACACACCCACTCACCCACACAAAGTTGCATTTAACTTTACCTGTATTTATATCTCAAATTTATTGTTCTGTCTTTTTTGTTGTTGTTTTGTTTTGTTTTTGTATTTAGTTCAGGGTCTATAGGGTCTCACTACACAGATTGGACTCGTAGTGATCCTCCTATTTTAAGCTGCCCAAGTGCTGGGATTACGGCCTATCATTTTTTAAAAGATGCTCTTTTAAAAAAACCTAAATTTTCTTCATCATTCAAATCTTGTTTTGGGGATTGACATGTAAGGTGCCTGGTAAACTGCAAAAATACTAGACAGATTTCTGGCATTGCTGGGTTGCATCTTGTCAGCTACGAGACAATGATGATTCTTTGCTTCCCTAGGATAATCAACTAATGCTCACAGACTTGAACACAAGTAACTTCAGATCAAGGAGGATCACATTTTTGGGATCCAGAGGCTAACAGGTCAGCAATGTTGGAGAATGGAATTAGAAGAGTAGCTACAGATGTTCTTCTTGGATCCATGTGTTTTTGCTGGACCTGTAATTTTGAGTTAGGAAATGGTTTCCAGTTATTCCTACAGTGAGGGGTATTAGCTTTCAGTGAGCTTGAGAATTCTATTCAAACAAAGCATAGCTTGGTACTATACCAGTAATGATGGCAGAGGTTAAGAAAGGGCTACTGCCTAAGGGACATTACAGTCTCATAGGAAAAGTACTACACAATAATTAGTAAACTGGATAAGTTTTCAGGCCACCTCAACTCGAAGGGTTGAGGGGATGCTTTAGGAGTACAGAGCTGTGTGGTATCACTGCAAGCTTGGGCAGCCTTTCATAGAAGCGATGCTTGGTAGCATCTTTGGCAGATTAGAGTCCTCAGGGTCTCAGGTGACCATTTTCTCTCCCCAAGAGAAAGATGATAGAACAAAACCAAACAAAACATCAATCAACCAAAAACCCCAGCGCAGGATCCAACCCCTTCTACATCTCCTCAGTGCACTACACAGAAAGGGGCTCTGGGTCTTCTTCAAAAAGCCATTACAACTTCCCGGCTCCCACACCCCCTCCTTCACCACAGGCCAAGGATTTATAAACCCACCTCCTTCCTACAGTTGCCATGGAGACCAACCCCAGTCCTTTCATTCCTTCCGGTACATGGGAACATGTCTCCAGCACAGGCGAAATGGTGGGGGTTTAGTCAAGCACGTTGGGGGAGGGGTGTCAGTACAATATAAGGATGGCGAAACCTGTTCCAGGGACAAATCAGCGGGTTTAAGCCTATCTATTTACTACAGGCGGCCACCCGCCATCAGGGCTCTGCTGGGGTGGAAGAGGGCGCGAGCCCGGAGACGACGGCATTAAGCAGCGGTGCGCGACTCACAGGTGTTAAGGGAGGCTTCGGGGACCCCGGGCGCCAACCCCCCAACGCGTGGGATTGGGTACAAAGGGAAGAGGGGAGGCGGGCCCCTCCACCCCCACGTCCATTGGGCAGCGCCGCCTTCACTCTCCTCAGGGCGACAAGGCCTTCTCCTCAGCGAAGCCCAGAGCCTCCCCTCCTCCGCCCCGCCCCGTCCCTAGGGGGCCTTTCATTGGGCATAGCTGCGTTCAATCTACCTCAAGTTAGAAACACGATTGGACAAGAGGCCTTCGGTCCGCCCTCAGGCTGCGTGGATAGGCTTGTTGCGCGTTGGCGCAACGGAAGAGGCGGCCGGCGGAGGGTGCGCCTCTGCTCCGGCGAACTGCTGCGGAGGAGGAGAGTTCAACGCTGGGGGGCCGGCTAGGGCGGCAGCAGTGGCTGCTGTGCATGGGAACGGGCCGGCTCGGCGCGCCCATGGAGCGCCACGGCAGAACCTCTGCCACCTCAGCCCCGTCAGTCGGCGAGCCGGAGTCCGGAGGCGCCGAAGAAGGGCGGCGGCGGGAGCCACTGCGGCGCCGGGCGAGCAGCGCGTCGGCGCCTCTGGTCGGGGCTTCAGCGGAGGGCGCGAGGTGGGACCGCCCTGGCTCCTACAGCGGTCCTGCTTCTGTCTCCCGCCAGCGCGTCGAAAACCTCCGGAAAAAGCGGCCGCGTAAGTCCCCGCAGGGCGCTCTGCGGCTCGCCCTGCCCCCTTCCGGCCGCGCTGCCGCCGTTTTTCCCGCGCGCGGACGGGACCCGGCCCGGGGGTTTCACCGTGGAGCGAGGCCTGACGCCTTGCGGCCATCAGTGTGCGCTTCTCGGTAGTTGCAGTGCTGGGACCCTTCCTCTCTCGCCTTAGCTCCTTGGGTTTTTTTTCCCCCCTGAAGAGTCACATGATTTTATCCTCGAGAAAGCTTCTTTTGATTCATTTCTGTCACCTTGTATCCCCTCCCCCCCGAATCCTTTGAATCGCCACTGTCTGTCTAACGTGGGTTCCCAGAGAGCCACCTTCCAAGATGTTAAGTCCTTTTCATCTCGCAATTTCTGGCTTACTGGAAAATGGTTAGCCATCCCTTGAGTTGCTCGAGGCCTAAAACTGTGTTCCATGAACACAGCGTTCTTATGACAATTCAGGTCATCTCACACCCAGCTGTCTTTCGATTTCTATCCATTTATTTGCAGGTAGTCACGATTCAGGGTTTTAATATTCTGGACACTAAGGCTTTTTCTTTTGAGAGAAAACGACAGCTTCCAGAATTTTGCCTTGAGAGTTGCACTAGACCTTCCCACAGAATCAGTTTATGCACTTCATTACCAGATTGCGTTTTCTGCATTGTGTATTTTCTGGTCCTCAGTTCAGTCTGCTGTCTTGCGGCCATTGCTCCTGTGGAAAGTATCAATTGTCCTGATGCTGTAATATGAGCTTTATCATGTAGCAGCGTTTTACATATCGGCAGACTTGGTGGTGGTTGTCAGATTCCTGTTTGAGGAAGTCCACTTGCTTAAATTCAGATCAGGAGAGTGAGAGGAAGTGGCAGGATGTGTGTGAGTGTTGCATAGGTCTTACCCTACCTAGTCCAGCTATTCAGTTGCTTTTTGTTGTCATCCGAGATTTGGATGTAGCTCTTGTTTTGCTACGGATCTTTGTCCTTGCAAGAAATTTCTCAAACGGATTTTCAACCTATTCCATTTTTGGAGTTGTCTGGTTTTTGTATCGTTTGAGGAACGCTTTATTTTTTATTTTTTAAATTTTTTTTTGCGGAGCCGGGGATTGAACTCAGGCCCTTGCACTTGCCAGGCAAGTGCTTATTCAACTGAGCTATCTCCCCAGCCCCAACACTTGATTTTTAAATAGTACAAAACATTAGTTCCTTCAAGGTTTCCTACTGCATCATTGGAGATGGGTGTAAGTTCCGGAGATTGAGGAGGTAAGAATCACAACCACGTGAGGATTCAGAGTATTGTATTTTGAGATTTTACATGGGGCCCACCGCTCTGTAGAAGCTGACCTCAGAGCTGAGAGGTGGGTGAGATGCTCCATTTTACAGAGGAGAAACCTGGGGCTCACTGTCTAGTTAGGTGATTAACGTGTGAAATAAATAAGCAAACTCAGAAATTCTAGCTTCCTTATTTCTGCTCTTTAATGCCTGTGCTTTACTTAGTTGTT